CTGACGAATTCTGGGAGTTGAAGTCCACAAGTCTTAAAGTTGCCAAGGTTGGAGACCCCTGCTATAAGGGCACATGTAGTAGAGGGTAACCCTTCCGTTCAACATTGCAATACAGGAAATGTGATGGCGTACCCTGCTTTCTAAGTCCCTTGCCCGCACTTTCCCCATTTCCGGTCTCCCTACCTTGCTGGAGCGAGATTTTATCCGGGCTGATGTTGAAGGCTTTGGCTGCCTTTTCTTTGGCTTCTTCCTTGCTCCGACCACTCACCCAATATTTGCCATCCACATCCTGCAGAATTTGAAAAGGGAAAAAATATCCCATCCATGAAAGTTTTGTTCAATATTTTTAAAAAAAATAGTTCTGTGGCTAAGACGCTGAGCTTGTCGATCAGAAAGGTCGGCAGTTCGGCGGTTCGAATCCCCAGCGCCGCATAATGGAGGGAGCTCCCGTGACTTGTCCCAGTTTCTGCCAACCTAGCAGTGCGAAAGCATGTGAAAATGCAAGTAGAAAAAGAGGGAATGCCTTGGTGGGAAGGGAACAGCGTTCTGTGTGCCTTTGGCGTTTAGTCATGCCAGCCACATGACCATGGAGACATCTTCGTTCGGCTTTGTAACGGAGATGAGCATCGACCCCTAGAGCCGGAAACGACTAGTCCGTGTGTGCAAGGAGAACCTTTACCTTTAAAAAATGTCAAAATTACACAGGCATGGTTTTTTGGATTTTTCAAGCTGTGCAGAGTCTAAAAGATTAATATAAGGAAGGAATATTAAGAATAATCACCTTGTATTTCACAATACAGTATTTGTGAAAATGCTAAAAGTGAAATACTTGTAAATAATAAAAAGGTTTTGTCTATCCTTGTGTTAAGCGTATGCAAAACCAGAAATTAAATTTATTTTATGAATACTGACTACTAGATCTATACCCGTGCTTCGCTATGAAACTATGTGATCGGGCTTAGTTTTTGGGGAGAAAAATAAGGGGAAAAAATTGTGCCTCTGCCTACCAGCATCCATTGGTATTCATCTGGCTAGTGTCCTGTCAGTGTGTGAAGAAAGTTGAGAGCTGTTTAGAAACTGAAGCATGGAAACTGAAACAGTATTTGCTGTGTGAGCAAGGAGACAGCAAGGAGCCTAGGTGTGGCTTAGCTCAACTGTTCTACAGTAAAGCTGCTTGCTAATGTGAAAGTAAAACTGAAAACTGAAACTCCTCTCCTCTGCTTGTGTTTTGCATTTGGAACATATTTCTTTTCAGGTGGGGAGGGAGAGTAGAACTCCTTAGCATCAGAGCATGTGAATAATAATATAGGAAATACTAATGCTCTGATGGTCATTTCGAGAAATCCTTTCTTAGTGAGCACCTAGAAGCCAAGACGAACATACGTGCCAAATTTCAAGTTTGATGATGCATGAGTGATATTTCGTTTTTATATATAGAGATTCACCTTCAATTACAGTATTTGTGAAAATACTAAAAGTGAAATACAAGTAAATAATAAAAAGAAAAGGTTTGTGTATACTTGCGTTAAGTGTATGCAAAATCAGAAATTAAATTAATTTTACAAATATTGGCTATTTTGCATTAATTCTTACTAGAAGTTTAAGTGAAAAGAATGAAAAAAAAATCTTAGCACTATTCCCACATTATTACTCTCTCCATGAGTTCAGAGAACACATGGATGTCTGTATTTATACTTCAGTGTCCTGAATATTCATTACACTTCTTTTTCTGGGAATGGGGGCTTTTCTACCAGTTTGTATCCAGTGGCCCAGAGAATCCTACCTCTCCTGCTGGCACAGAAGGGTCATCAATAGTCACAAAATATGCTGGAATACGGTGGCCCCACCAGAGCTGTCGAGAAATACACCAATCCCTACGAAAAAGGAAAGAATTAGCAAAGCTGCAGTCCGAGATTACTCAAATCACAACACCATTTGGTTTCCAATTACATTTAACATTGTAGGTAGTCCTCAACTTACAATCATTCGTTTAGTGACTATTTGAAGTTACAACAGCACTGAAAAAAGTGACCTATGACTGTTTTTTTTTATACTTATGACTGTTGTAGCATTAGTCACATGTTCCAATCAAGGCGCCGTCTGGTTGCCTGGTGACATCACTTCTCCTTCCTCTGACCAGGTGTGAGAATGTCCTTGGTTCCCAAGAGGAAGCATTTTGCTTTGGCTACAAAATTTCTTCTATCTAAAATCCCCCCTTCCTTGTCCCTCAGCTCCAGTGTGTGGCAACACTGAGGCCTCAAAATGGCTTCAGTCAGGTCAGCTTCAGGGTTGACACTCACATACATTGCTAAAAACCCACACTTTTTTTTCTAAATCACTGCTTCCTTCCACAGTAACTTTGCTCGCTCACAATATTAAGATGCAGCATTCATAGGTTTCACTGAGCCCAAACCCAAACAAATCACAGAATGGGTTAATGGGGGGGCGTGAAGCAGTAGCGTCAGAGCAGTTCGGCGTTTATACAAGCGTCTCACCTGATATTGTCCATCCAAGTGAACCAGGTTTTGAGATGGAAATCTGGCACAATGTGCAGATCACCCCGGCGTACGGCCTCAGCTGCAGCCTGGCCCATCGTGTCACAGCGCACGTACCACTGAGGCTTCAGCAGCGGTTCCACAACATCTTTGGAGCGGCTTAAAGAGTATCGGGGAGAGAAAGCCGAAGAAAGAAGTTAGAGGAGACTCTGGAAAAACAACAACAGGGTTGGAACAAATAATCCTCATTTAGCAACTGCCTTGCTAGTGACTATCCACCAAGACAATGGTGATGAAAAAGTAACTTTTGTGACCAATCCTCACCTTTGTAAGGACATAAGCACGGTGGTGGTTTCCCTTAGTGGCTGCTTTGCTTAACCGAGGTGCTAGTCCCAAATTATGGCTGTTAAGTGAGGAATATCTGTACGTCCTTTATAGACTTTTAAAATTCAATCTGGTGATTCCTCTCTGGCTCAACGAGACCTTCCCTCACATAGAAACCTCTTTCACCCATCCAATCCGCATTAGGAAAGCAAGACTTTCATAGTTTTATTATAGTTTATTTATTTATAAAGTTTACTGGCCGCCCATTTTACCACAGGGCAACTCTGGGTGGCTCTTCGTTTTCTCAGTCCTTCTCTTCCCCCACCACACACACCTTGTTCAGTTCTTTCCCCTAATTTGAGAAGGCAATACAATAAAGGAATCAAGAGGATTAACCTTGACTGTGGAATAAACTAAAACAGTTTTTCTCAACCATGGCAGCTGGATGATGGATGGGCTTCAACTCCCAGGTGGTTTTCTTAGGTAAGATAAGAGTATTCAATGTGTTTTAATTAGACGCAATTCCACATGTTCTGATGGCTTCACACAACACATTAAATAACATGAAGATGGTTGAAGGCATCAGACCATGTGAATCTGAATCTAACACACTGAACATGGACGGATCTGTCACAGGACTCCTGTGGCACCCCATAATTGTTACTGTCATGGGGCTAAAACTGTTGTGGTCCGCCGGCAGCCTGTGGAGATGGCAGCAGAATCAGGCAGTGGGGAAGAACATGGGCCAGTCCAGAAGTCTGGGGAGGACTTGGACGATGGTCCTGCTTCCAATACAGAGATGGCGCCAGGGCCATCTGGGAGTTATGTGCTGACTCTGGAGCCTCCAGAATCTGACAGCAGCGAGGCAGAGGAACAAGGGGAGCCTGTTCCCAATGTGCATATGTGCAGAGCTGCCAGAAGGCAAGAGCAGTTAAGACAAAAAGGGCAACTCTGGAGTAAAGCTTGGAGGTGATTGGTCCCTCCCATAAGATATAAAGGAAGTGCAAAGGGACAGGAACCTTTGCAGGAAGCAACGTTGTTCAGTCTGGTCGGTTTGGAATCTGAAAGCTCTGTGAAAGCTCTGTGCTCCGTTTGGTTTTGAAAGACTAATTGGTACTTTAGTCGTTGGCAGCACTTCAAGAAAGATAAAGGTGCGTGCTTATCAGACTTCTCCTGAAGAATTTTGGCAGACTTCCATGGGACTATTTATAACTGGTTGAGACTCATTACGGGCTGTGACTGATGATAATTCACAGCCGTTGAACTAAAATAAAAGGGTTTTGGATTTAACATGTGTTTGTTGGTGTCTCAGGAAGCCCTGGTCAGAACAAAACCATACTCTAACAATGTTCCTCACCAGAATTAACTCTGGAGATTGGAATAGGTGATCAAAATGGCTCTCCCTGTCAGATTACAGAGCTGATCCAAATTGGCTACAGGTAAGTCAAAGCCACTGAATGATCCTGAAGATCTCCTTCTGTCCGTCACTCTCTCTTAGCACAAAGCCTATCATATGATGATCAAATCCCTTCAGGTTCTAAATGTGCCTGACATTTGACTAGAGTGGATCCGGACAATCTGCAGTTTCTAGGAAGTTACCAGCCCCACTCAAACATTTTATCCCCCAATAAGAAATTAGCAACTAGGATCTGTTTACATGTGCAAGACGATCGCTTAAACATGAGCCAGCAGTCAAAAAAGCTAATACAATCCTTGTGTAAACAGAGACACAGAATCAAAACCACGTGAAGTATGAGCACTGCTTTATAAAGCCTTAGTAAGACCACACCTGCAATACGGCATCCGGTTTTGGTCACCACAATACAAAAAGGATGTTGAGACGTTAGTGTAAAGAAGAGCAACTAAGATGATTAAAAGTCTGGAGACAAAAACATATGAAGAACGATTGCAGGATTTGGGTATGGCTGGTCTAGAGAAAAGAAGGACCAGGGAGTGACATGATAGCGGTGTTCCAGTATTTGAGGAGCTGCCACGAAGAGGAAGGGGTCAAGCTATTCTCCAAAGCACCAGAAGGCAAGGCAAGGAACAATGGATGGAAACTAATCAAGGAGAGAAGCAACCTGGAAATAAGGAAAAACTTTCTAACACGGAGGAGAATTAACCAGTGGAACAGCTTTGCCTTCAGAAGTTATGGGTGCTTCATCACTGGAGGTTTTCAAGAAGAGACTGGACAGCCACCTATCTGAAATGGTACTAGAGGTCTCCTGCTTGAACCAAGGGTTGGACTGAAAGACCTCAAAGATCCCTTCTAGCTCTGTTCTGATTGACTGACAGGCAACCTAGGGTCCAGTAAGGGGTTGAAACCCTCAGCTACTTCCACCATTCAGAAGATTCAAGGCTTCATTCCAAAGGTATCTAAAATAGTCATCTAAATAAAGGCATCACTTTTCACATGAAGTCTGACCCCCTCCTAACTGAGGACAGGAGAAAATACCGGTCTTACTTCATTTTCAGCCATGCTGGCCGGGAATCCTTGGGAATCGTGGTTTGAATACCTTTGCGGAAAGCTGCTTTACTTTGCGACTACTGCTCACCTGCACACTGGTACCACCATGGGGTTGTCCTTCACCTCCTTGAAGAGCTTCTTTTCCTTCAAAGCTTCCAGCACTGCTTGACGGGCTTCAAAGCGTTTCATGCCCTGGAAGAAGAAGCAGATGGAAGTGAAATCGTTACATGGGAACGCAGAGAGAGGTCTCCAGAGACAAACAAGCTAACAATAAACAACAGCCTAGTCAAGAAAACACCAAGAACACCCCTACCAATATGGACAGGGCAAGCCACTAGTAGTGTGTGTTAGGAATGTGAGTCACCTAACAGCTATTTGGGTTGGAAATATATAAACCAGGAGAGACATTTTAGTACTATGTCTTTAAGAGCATGCTGAAACTGTAATTGGGTGTGGTTTCTCAAACGGGCATAAGATGGAGCCAGAAACCTGGGTTGTTTAGTTTTAGTCTTAGTCTTAGTCTCAGGAAAGTTTCAGTGAGTCTCTGTTTCTTCTGTTGGAGAGAGTTGCCTTTCCTCCATTTTTCCCTATTAACTGTTATTCTTGGATTTGATATAAGTCTGTTACTGAACTGTTTTTGATACTGGATTTTGTTATTGGATAATCCCTGGACTGAAAACTGACTGATTTAACCGTGAATGACTTGGACTGCTTATCTTGGACTGTGCTTAAACGTTTATTGGAAGTAAAAAACCTACATTTACTGTACAGCGTATCTGTGTGCTGTTTGTGTATTATTCTTCACCACTCTCACTACGTCTCCCTGTATGCGCTCATTCTCCTAACGGGGAATTACCTCAACGGCGTTGGTAAACCTTTTTGGCACCAAGCACTGAAAAGAGTGTGTGTGCGCGCAGGAGCACCAGAAACTGGAAGACCAGCTCCCTGGTGTGTGTACATGGGAGTGCCGGAAACCGGAAGAGCGGCTTCCCGGCACGCATGCATGCGCTGGGAGCTGAGCTTCCGGTTTCTGGCGCGTATGCACACATGAAGACCACCTGGCCAGCGGGCATGCACCTGCCAGAAACCGGAAGCTCAGCACGCGCTGGGGAGCTGCTCTTCCAGTTTCTGGTGCTCCTGCGCACACAAAGACTAGCTGGCTGGTGCATAGGTGTGTGCGGAAGAGGAACAGGCAACAGCTGGAGTGCCCAGAGAGATGGCTCTATGGCACACATGCCATAGGTTCGCCATCACGGCACTAGTATATATAAAGCTAGCAAGTCCTACTCCCTAATGGAAATGATGATGTTATTTAGTTGGGTAATGAAACGTCTGCAAGAAAACAACCCATCTCAGAGAGCACCATGGATCCCATGCTGGCTGGAGAATTCTGGGAGTTGAAGTCCACAGGTCTTAAAAGTTGCCAGCCCTGCACTAAGCTTACTGTTCCAATTAAGGCTAAACCCATTCCAGTCAATAAAAAACAGAAAGAAGACCAAAAAGGATCCCTTGAATTCCGCCCACCCTCCCAACCGCATCCCAACAATACCAAGAAGGGTGGAGGAACGTTGATGAGGTAGCCGTTCTCGTTCATAATGTTGATGAACTCAAGTCCATGACGCAGGCCAACCTCATAGTCATTCTGATCATGAGCTGGGGTGATCTTTACGGCACCTGAAAGCAGCAAGAAGGGGGAGGTGATTATTTCAGCTCTTGCCATGGCCCAATGTTTCCTGTTAGAACCTGGTTTGTAGTCTTTGGAGTTACTCCGCACCTATGTTGTTGATTCAAAGAAGACCTGAAGCTCTAAAGCTGTAGGAGATGACCAGGCAGAGGGGGGGGGGGGGGGGGGGGGGGGGGGGGGGGGGGGGGTGAAGCGCATCATCAGTTTGGAATCCCTTTGTGCTCACAAGAGATCTTAGTCCAGCCCTCCTTGAATTCTATTGATCCTTAGCTACTGCCAATTGGCTTTGACTGTTAGTTCTGATTCTTGTAGAGAGTGTAGGCATACAATAAGCCTATATTCATTTGAACTTGCCTTGATTCCTGATTTATTACACACGGCAAAAGCTTTGTTGGACGTCGTTCTTTTTTCTGGCGGAAGTTTTTTCTAGTGATCCCTTCACATGTATTGGAATTCAAACCCCAAAATTATCCAGCACGAACAAGGAGTCAAGTTGGGGAATGCTGAGTTATAATTGCCCATTTGGTTCCTTCAGACTGTTCTCTCATTAATCCTAACAAACACACTCTTCTTTTATTCAGGGTTTTCTCATTTTATTCCACTTCTATAAGGACTGTGAAAATATTTAGACCCCTCACATCCCGGACATAAACTCTTTCAACTTCTACCCTCAAAACGATGCTATAGAACAGTGATCCCCAACCTTTTTGACGCCGCGGCCCGGTACCGGCATCAGCTGGGCGCCGCGGCCCGGTACCGGCATCAACTGGGCGCCGCCATCTTTTTTTGACGAAAAAGTGCTTCCGGTGACCTCACCGGAAGCACTTTTTTGTCAAAAAAGATGGCGGCGCCCAGCAACCAGCGGCCCGGTAAGACTTGTTCCGCGGACCGGTACCGGTCCGCGGAGCGGCGGTTGGGGAACCCTGCTATAGAACACTGCACACCAGAACAACTAGAAACAAGAACAGTTTTTTCCCGAATGCTATCACTCTGCTAAACAAATAATTCACTCAACACTATCCAACTATTTACAAAGTCTGCAATTCTATTACTATTAATCTTCTCATCACTCCTTATCACCTTTCCCCTCCCACTTGTGACTGTATGACTGTAACTTTGTCACTTGTATCTTTGCGATTTATATTTTTCTAGTACGATTTGATTGCCTATTTGTACCCTATGACTATTATTAAGTGTCGTACTTTATGATTCTTGACTCTTGACAAATGTATCTTTTATTTTATGTGCACTGAGAGCATTTGCACCAAGACAAATTCCTTGTGTGTTCAATCACACTTGGCCAATAAAGAATTCTATTCTATTCTATTCTATTTATTTTCCATCCTCTTCATAGATTCTCCACGCTAGCTCTTCAACAACAGCTCCATCCTTTCATGTAGGACTTCCTGCATTTACGTAGCTCATAGCCCAGAACATACCAGTTCCAAACTCCATATCTACAAAATCATCACAGACAATGGGTAGGAGGCGCCCCGTGAAGGGATGCTGCACTTTCCGGCCATGCAGATGCTAGAAGACAAAGCAGATCAAAAGAAGAAACTTAATGAAGACTCTAAAATTATCCAGATAAGCAACAGTCTGATAGTCTCAAAAGTGCTTTTTAAAAAGGCAAATGGACTTTTTTTTTGGTTTTTCTTTTGAAGATGTTTCGCTTCTCATCCAAGAAGCTTCTTCAGTTCTGAA